CCTTTGATGGCAAAAATACAATACTTGACGCAGTTCTGGAAACACAGTCATTTGTGAATGTAACATGCAGAACCTGTGCTGCGGTATGTCTTTGTCAGTTCTTGTTGGGGGTTACTGCTCCTTAAAGAGATTTAAACAGCTACGGTAAGTTTTGGTGTTAAACACTATTTTTCACCTAAAATAAAAGCATAGTTTATGGTCGTTGTCAAACCATTCAAAATTGCATCCCCCGTAGAAAAACAGTCAGGTCGGGTCAAGTGTGATACAACACTGCCGCTTCGTGGCTACCTTTCTCTGTTATTCGTAAACTTACAGCCCTGCACTTATTCAAGATGAGGATACACCGCTAGAATTATTACTGAAATAAGTGTCGGCAAGATGGACCGTGGAAATTTTATGCAGAAGTTAAAAGCGTCATCTCTTCCTACGCACTCTCAGCTCCGGTGGGGGATATTGGATTTGCATATATATATATACCAGAATTAAATGTGGGAAGATTAATGTCGATCGCCTTCGAAATGCGCGTGTTCTTGATGTTACTGTGAGTTTGCTCAAGCGCCGAAGGAGGTCTCCATATCGAGTAAATATCAGAGCCATCTGGCCCGACAGAAGGGGCTCTGAAAATTCCCAACCTGGTTCCTGTGTCGGGGGCGAAAGATATTGACTGAAAAAGCCTGGCGAATCCTCCTACCTCCTTCACAGTGTACGACTCCAGCTCCTTCAGGACATGAGACTGGGGCTCTTCCATGATGCTGCCGCCGGCATCTGCCAATCAAACACGTTTAGTAAACAGCAACACACGTAAAAATATTTTTACAATGTGTTCAGTTCAATTTGTTGTTGTTTTTTAACACCATTCCAGGTGAGGTCAACAGCCCATTTTCAGTTTCGGTGACAGATGTGTGCAGCACCAAGTCATTTAAATATCTAATGCTAGTTTGTTTGGGGTGACTCGAAGCAGAAAGGGACATTCCTCGCATCGTTAATTAAACGTAAAATGTCTTGAACAAATTTTCAATCTGCGATATTCCCTCCAACCTCGCTTAGCGTCACCACAACTATTCTGTGTCATAGTGCTTCGGAAAACTAAACACTGCTGTATAATGAAGAAGTGTAATTGTGTCGCCGTGAATAATAAATCCGGAGACATGCCCTGCGAAACTATTCAGACACCTGAGTATTTTATAAAACCTAATTTATTGAAAAATCCCCCGGCTATAGATCAGGACCCAGATATGAGCGCGACCACGAAATCAAGGATATGTGAAGAAAGCAGAAAATGATAATTTCCTAAACAGAAAAAAACGATTAAGATAGAAATAAATGACAATTTACACGCATTTACATTAATCGTGAGAAACTAAACGCTTATACAGTTCTACCTGCGTTACTGTACGGCGGAGCACCACGCACTTCCGGGTGTGCGAGACAGACAGCAGCGCCAGCCAATCGGAGCGGACGAAGTCCTGCTGCTACCCAATTGAGATTTGCGGAGAAGGCGGCGCTAAGCGCAAACAGCACCGCCCCAACAGCAAGCTCTGCAGGTCTGGAACACTGCCCCCCCCGGTGGTCGTTTACGGTATAACGCTTGAAATCCAATTACCCTGATCGTTGTGCTAGAGGTCTTCAGACCTGCTGGTGTGCGTTCAAGCCCAATTTAAAAATCTAAATCAAAGCCTTAGATAAACTGACGAGTGGCCTGACTGAATGTTTGCGACTGGTATTTTTTTTTAACGAAATGTAATCCCTAAAAGGTAACGTCAAAAAAATTTAAGAGCTGAAAGCAAACAGTTGTAATTAATTATTTTATTGAGTCAATTAATACTTCAGTTAAACCAGTAGCTTTGGGTTCCTCCAGGATCAGAACTGGGAAACCCTGGCTTAGCCACTTTTCCCAGTTGGGCCATGGCAACCCATATGATATTGACCTGTATAAAAACATGAGAAAAGCTACAGACCATGATTCAGCTCCATGTGTGACTGTTATGGCTGGGCAACTTGCTCCACACTACTGCCACAACACTTTGTGTAAAAATAATCTCCTATTTTCTCTTCTAAATGCACATCCCATATTGTTCTTTTGTGCCCCATGGTTGCGATTCACTGGCTTGACTGTGTCCATGAGTCCCTGTGTCCCCGTGTGTCCCTCTGAAGAAGGCTTCACAGCCCAAACGTTGTGTTTTCACTCTTCTCTTTTCAGCAGGGAATAAACCAATTACTTGTTCCTGTGTCCATGACTTGTCTTTGAGGATTTTGATAACAGGATCAGGGACCCACACAGTCCTCTCTGTTCAAGACTAAAAAAGATGCAGCACAGGAAATGATGCTGGGCGCTCTTTTCAGGACTGATTCCAGGGCAGTGATACATTTGAGATAAGCTGCTGCTGAGACTTGCTGCCAGGTAGACTGTGGCCACAAGATAAGTAGTTCACAAATAAGTGTCTGCCAAATAGCAGGGCAAATAAATGTCAGCCGGTCACTAGCTCAGACCTGATTCTTTTTGTGCAATAACAATAACACATATCAGACAACAGAACTGTGCAATCAGTGAATGACAAATGTTGCTACATACACATACTGTATGATGGGACTCATATATACGCTGTTGAAAAATGATCTTACAGTAAACTCTGCATCACCTGATAGTGAAAATGTATTTGTCTGGGCCCTGGTCACTGCTGCGTTCAGCTGTATTGAGGTATGTAATTCGATTTTTTCTTTTGCCTAAGACAGAAACACACTTCACAAGTGTCTTTCTGAACCCACAACCCTTTCCAGGTGTGTTGCAGCCGTTGTCCTCAAGCCTCACAGGCGTGTCGAGGGGGCTGTGCAGTCACGCCACACGCCAGGGCTGGCTGCACGGGTAAGGGCCACCCCAGGTGATACATACTCGCCTCTCGACGCCATGTCCTCTGCTGCTGGGCTGATTGAGCTTAATTGTAGTGAGAGCGAATGGGCGCACTCAAGAATTAATCGTGTGGCTTTTCAGTGGACCAAGACTGCTGACACATGCCAGTTTAAATTCTAAAATAGAATTCCACCAAACGTTATAAGCTGGCCAAGAGCAGTGCAGCCTGTGTCAGTGAATACGGTGTATTTGTGATGACATTTTTACTTTTGCATGATTTACCAACTGTTCCTGGTCTGGATGCCCAGCAGTATGGCTGTGACCCTTAGTGTACAGACGCCTCTCCTAGAGAGTCTGCGATTGGTTCGCATGGTGCGGTGCCCATCGTGGACGCTTTATAAACACGTACTGTAGGTGACAGCTCCTCGGGAATCCCTGGGCTAAGTGCTGTGAGTCTTTTGGATCAGTTAGCTTTGTGCTGTCCTCTGTCAGTGTTATTAACAGCGAAACACGAACTGGAGGCACAAGTGGAAACCCTGTGGAAGTGCGTTTTGTTGAGGCTGATTCCCAGTTTTCTTTCAAGCAGCTTGCTGACATCCTATTAATTTTAAAACAGGCTAGACAGGCTCAATGGTGCCCCCTGTTTGACCTTTTATCTATGTGCACGTATCGTCACATCTGTGTAAGGGGCATATTCTTATATTTTCAGATGTTTTCCGAAATATTTTCTAAAATGTTTTTGTGATTCTTTGGGATAAACTACTATATGAATGCAAAGTATTATTATTATTATTATTATTATTATTATTATTATTATTATTATTATTACTAACATAGAGCTAATCAGATTGCACCTGCATTGAAACTGCTGTACACATATGGGATTTCACTATAGACTAGATGTGGCAATTTCAGCAATTTTGTCATTTTGTATGTTCTCATCGCTCCAAGTGGGCTGACATGGACCAATCGGTATCAAGTGTTGGAACAGTAGCTTGAGGCCTTACAACTAAGTGAAAATGGAGTTAATACTCCACATGGTGTTGCCACCATATTTGGTGTTTCTCCAAGTTTCAGTGAAACTGCTTGTTGCACAATGTTAGGAGTCTTTAATGGATGTTGACTGGTTGAAGAGTCTTGATATAGCCAGCAGACATATCACCCTGCAACTCACAACTGGCAACCCACAGAAGCTAAGCAGGTGTGAGCCTGGTCAGTACCTGGATGGGAGACCTCCTGGGAAAAACTAAGGTTGCTGCTGGAAGAGGCGTTAGTGGGGCCAGCAGGGGGCGCTCACCCTGCGGCTCATGTGGGTCCTAATGCCCCAGTGTAGTGAAGGGGACACTATACTGTAAACAGGCGCCGTCCTTCGGATGAGATGTAAAACCGAGGTCCTGACTCTCTGTGGTCATTAAAAATCAGCTGAACAGCTGGTGTGACATCAGACATCAAACGGACTAGCTTCACGCAGAATTAACATTTCACGCTAAAAATAGCAACTTTTTAAAACGTCGGGTACGATTTCATGTAGGGCCTCCACTCGACTGCGATTCTATTAACTAGCCATTTTGCTACAGATGTTTGAGCGAACGCCGGCCCAGTGACAGGCGATCATGTTTGAGTTATAGCGCCGCTCTGACCCTACAGTGTGGAAGTTGCTAAGGACTTGATTGGGACAGAAAAGGCCTTCTTTCGTTTGGCTCAGAGCAAACCGCGCTGAAACCAGCCTGTGACGAGCACCAGCGCACTAGACACTGCAACACGTGGGAACAGACCGGGAGTTTTGTAAATGCTTAAAAATAGGAGGATTGTATACAATACCCCTTGAGAAAAACATTTTTCACCTTAGGGGACAAATGACATTTTATATCTTAGCACCAAGCTTATTTTCAGTCATATTTATTGTTTCCCTTAACTGTGTGTATTTTTGTCTTTGTCGGCCGTGTAACCTAAGTGGAATATAAAATTAATGTATAAGGATTCTTTATTGTTCCTCATTTCCTACAGGGGTTTGGAGTCCTAAATGTAGCCATAATGGCTGTGAGGGTTTATTTTCTGTTATCATTTGGTCATGAGTTAAGTTAAATAAAGTTAAACTTCATGGAAAAAAATCAAAACATTTATGTGGCTGGATATTTTTTTTTAAAAAAAGAACATTTCTTCCATGAAGTGAAATGCAGATGTCGACGTGGCTAAGCGTCACAAAACGTTTACACCTTGTAAGAGTCATACTGAACGACAAACTCGAACGCTTTTTTAATCTATCCGAGAGGAGG